AAATGAAAAGAGTTGATAGTATACAGTGGAGTATAGAAGCCCTGAGAATCGCCATTCGATCTTGAATTGAGTTCCAATGTTTTGTTAGAAACACATTGGTCAAATAAAGCTCCTTTATCGACGTTGAAAATATTTTTTGCTTTGCGGTCTTAAGAGCTCAAAGGGGCCTTAAAATCAAAAAAATGTTTATTTTATTTTCGAGTAGGATTTTTTGCCGCTTTCCCATTGCATTTTTTGAAACTTCAAAATTTGATCATTCAGTGAGATACAGCTGTTTCCGTGAGCCATTTTCATATATTTTGCGTGTTAATTTACGTTTCTGTTTTTACAAAGTGCACCTGAGTTGTCGTAACATTCAGAGCGTACCGATTGAGTTACAGCAACTGGTTCGCGCACACTTCTTCAGAACATCAATGCTCACGGCCTTTACTACGGCCGAGACAATTGAGCTCATAGATTACTCTTAAAACGTACTTTTATGACTTAAATTGCAGCAAAAACGAAAAATGAAAAAAATGTGGGTTAAACTGTTCATGCATAGCAATCTGCATGTTCGATCGTCTAAGCCTTAGTAGTAGTGTCCACGAGCATTGATGTTCTAAAGAAGGGTACGCAATCCCGGAGCTAAAACTCAATCGGTATCCTCTGAAAATTACAAGAAGTAGCCAAAAACACCTCTCGCCAGAAAACGCAAAAGAAGAAAAATTTTAACGCGTAAAGTATAGGAAAAAAGCTCATGGAAACAGCTGTGTTTCAGTGAAAAATCAAAATTTCAGTACTTCGAAAAGTGCAATGGAATGAGGAGAAAAAAATCCTATTCAAAAATTTAATAAAAAATTTTTGAATTTAAGGTGTATATAAGCCCTTAAAACTATATATTCCAAAAATTGCTGGCACATGAAATTTTGTAAACATGGGCTTATGACAATAATACTGGTGGTCTTGTATACCTTAGAGAACATGTTCCGATCCTCATAGGTATGTGCTTATGGTGTGGGTACCACTCCTATTAATATGATTACTGATCTAAGCAATTAAAATGAGGTTTGCCGTAGAATTCCAAGCGAGCCGCTTAGTGAATTTACTCCAATTTCATATACTTCTTCAGTACACGTGTGATCATTGTAACAACCACTATCTAAATGATTTGAACATTAAAAAGTGCTCTTTCACTGTTTTAGTACAATGAACCATAAAAATGATATAAAATCAATCATTTCAGATCTATATAATCTTTATAGAATCAAGAGGAGCGAATCACTTAGATAGTGACTGTGACCATTCTCACACACGAAAAATTTTGAATAAAAATTTAATTTTTGTGACATTTTCTTCAAATTATGTGAAATTTTTTAACATGGTTTGATATAGAACGGGACCGGTACCTGGCGGTCACTTCTATTAATGCGATAATTCAAATTTTATGAGTTTAAATTATGTGATTTTCACGGTATTTAGCCAAAAAATAAAAGTACGAATGGCTTCTGATAAACCGAACGTAATCGGGCTTGTACTTAGGATAGATAGATAGATAGATAACTATATACCTCAGGGCACCAATAACAACCTTAATCAATCAATCTCTCTTCTGTCAGCGTTTTCTTGCTACGTAGAGGTCCGTCGCATAGCAAGCGGCAATTGTTATTGTTCGGGAAATATTCAAACAGGATGAGCGCGCGGCTTGTACACACACATGTTCACGTGCTGTGCAAGCATAGGAGTGATTCTCTCTGCGCGGCGAGAGATGGCGTTGCTCCTCGGCACGTGCCGACGGCATCTCTGCTATCGGCGCATTGTTCGCGATTCCGGCTTCTCGTTTCTGCACTCGGAAAATAAGCATCTCATGTGTGTCTCGTGCGACGACTACTTCAATAGTGAAAAATCCCGACGTTATCTCAATCAAGCTACCTCGAGCATCATCTACGAAGACTTCTCACCAACTCGACAACTCCAATTCATTCGACAAGCGCCAAGCAGTTCGACACGGACTCTTCAAGCTTCTGCGAATCGGAGTCAACTCATCGATTACGACCAGGTAAAGACACCATCCAGGCCGCAAATGAAGACCAATAATGTCTACTACAGGCCTGGTGGGATCGTTTTATCATCACCTCAACTCTCGGGATTATTTTGGAGCATCTCAATCGCACGAACACACGACAGGAGAAAGTGAGGTTACACGTTGCCATGTGCAATCTCACGTGATCTTGGTCAATTCATCCGGCTGCTCACACATGCAAACGAGAGGATTAATTTAACCTCTTTGTTGTGCTCCGGTCTACTCATAAGTCAAGTTCAGCTCGCTGTGAGCTCAAGAGAAGTGCTGCACGTCTCAAGTGCAACAACTCACAGAAAGGAAGTGTGAATTAATGTAATCTCGCTTCGTGTACACTGCTCACATTATTGTATCAATTTTGACGGCTCATTGTGTATTATAAATATTATCAGTGTACACAAATTTACTGCTATTGTTAATAAAATTTTGAATTATAGACTCAGTTTTTTTTTAAATTTATAGTGTTGAGTGAGAATAAAGGAAATAGAGAAAAGAAATTTATGTGATCAATGCAGTGTTTATTGTTTGTTTAGACCTGATCATGCACCCATCCCTTTTTCAATAATTGTTTAAACAATTCTCAAACAGTTATGTTAGAAACATGCCAATAATTAATTAATTAATTAATTAATTAATAATAATAATAATAATAAGTAATCATAAAATAATATTAGTTTAGGCTACTGCCCAAGCGGCGGAGAGAGCAATGAATAATATATTCGTTACACCCCGACGGAAAAAAAATCGTTCAAGAAAATGTAAAAGTAGTACCTAAAACCATCTTATTAAATTGTAAATTGTAATAAATTGTAATGAAATATAAAATTACTAGCGATTTCGGACAGCCAATGCATTAAAAAAGGCAGCATAAAATCACATTTTTTTACACTTTTTTACGATTTCTTCAATATGCTATCCGTGTGTGATCGCATCGACAGCAGATTTTTTTTTATTTGATTTTTTAGTCTTATTCATTCAAGTACTTCAAAAAACTTCCTATAATATCGAGTCAATAGACCTATCAAATACATTACAAGTTATAAAAAAAAGTTATTAAAAAAAAACATCGACTTCCTTGCACAAGTCATCGCCGAATCAAAATATCGTCCTAGTACATCGAGCGGTTATCATTCATTGTATGTTAGTATATAACATGATAAAAATTTCGACTTCCCTTAAGAAGATACACACTCATAGACACGTATACAATGTACTATACATACATGCAGTAATAAATATCAGATTTGACAACGTGCATAATAGTGCGTAGTCTCGCGACTTATACGCATCGACAGCATATACGTATTCTATGTATTATTGTACGCATAAGCAAGAGAGAGAAAGATATCGCAACGCAGTCAATCCCGTGAGCTAAGCCGACTGCTGTTGCTTATGTTGTTTCGTTGCCTCGTGTGTATACGTAAACACAGTCGTACGCGCGTGCGAGAGCGATACGCACCTCGAGTCTAGGCAGCGGGCAGCAGCAGAAAGCAGTTCTGTAGCTGGCGTGGCAGCCAATTACAGCGCGTAGCGCAAACCGACGCTGAATAGGCAGTTCTACTACCAAAGTTGCGCTCGCTCGGACGGACGGACGGACGGACGCTCGGTTTTTACGGGTTTACCCCTGATGCCAAACGCGAATATAGATGTTTCACATCAAAAAAATATCTATACAAACCTTGTGACGGGATATGTATTCCCCGACACAACGATACCTCTGATACTCGTCTGGCACGAGAGATCACGACTAACTTACACACATTCACACACACCATAGAAAAGATCATCAAGAGAGCATGGCATAGCCAAAACACTTTGGCAGGTTGATACGTCGATACTCCTAATTTACCGATAACGACACATGCGCACTAACGTAATTCGCAAGGAGCAGAACACATTCAAATTCGTGCCTTCGGACAGTCACCTCGAACTCATCACTCACTCGCTATTAGGCCTTTAACTAGCCCACATCGCTCACACTTGTAGTGTCTCTGGAGACGATCTTCAACTCAAGGTGTCGCTTGCCATCCTGCCACCATGCCAACCAACATCGAGTGGACCTGGAACCATCGTCGCCGAAGAGGCTGGCCAGCGATAATTTAAGTACACAAACACATTAACTATCTCTCGAGCCATACCGGTATTCGCCTAGTAAAGTAATTTTTTAGTTAATCGGATTCTTTCGCCATTGACATGAACTCGCATCCCCGAGATTATAATCGTTGAGTCTGCATGCTCTACATGCAGTGGCGGCCCGAGCATCTTGTACATTCACTTATTTTGGACTATACAATATACAACTTATAACTATTTCTTTATTAATTCATTGTGATGATAATTTATTATTTCATTATCCAACTAAAATCCCTCACAACCTTTATTTTTGTATGGGTCATTCTTCTACTTTGTTAAAAAAGCGTGTGCGCCAAATTTTCAAAAAAATCTAGAAAAAATATATCTTATTAAGTGACTTTATGATTCCGAAATAAAAAATTTTCTATATTTTTCTAATGTTTTTTTCAATGGAAGAACAAGTTACATCTGAATAAAACTTTTTACACATACTTTAATGGCCTTCGACTGTTTAAAAAATCTTTTTCCATGGTAGTTTCGCGTAGTTTGATAAAACTGTTTTCCCGAAAAAACATTTTTCATTCTAGTTCGTTCTGAGTAGTCACATGAGCATATCATTATTTTTTTAGACTTTTTCTAAAAATGCATTCTTGATGAAAGCGTTGAAAAACATTTTTTCTCGCCATTTATTGGAAATTTGAAAAAATAACTGAGGTTCACTTGGAAAAACACCAATTTTTTTAATTACTAAACACACATCGTTTTCTCGATGTTTTCTACTAATTCACATCTGAGAAAAAAAAATATTTCTAGATCTGGAGTGCAAGTAGACACAGCCTAAAATGATATATTTTTTTATTTCATTTTTCAGGAGATATTGGAGTGTTCAAAAAATTAAAACCAGATCCATGTATACCGAGCCCTCACATAAGTCATCCACCAAGCTGTCCCACTCCAGCTCGCAGACGACACAGAACAACTTTCACTCAAGTAAGTCAACCTTACGTAATTTTTTTTATCGTTTTATAAGAGTTGAAGCAGAAAAAGAATTTGCATCTTGTGATAATTTTGTTTTTCAATGAAATTTATTTCCGTATTCACTTTTAGGTTGAGTTTCTATTTTTAATTTTGTTGAAAGAATGTACAAGCATTGGTTGCATTGTAGTGTGTATGTAACGTAGATTCAAACATACTATTCACATCAACTATTTTTCAGGAGCAATTAAATGAATTGGAATCAGCATTTGCGAAATCTCACTACCCAGATATCTATTGCAGAGAAGAACTAGCTAGAAGTACTAAGTTAAATGAAGCTAGAATTCAGGTAATAGTTTTTATTAATAATAACATATCGTTAGGTCCTCCTTCTAGAAGCACTAGTGAGCAAAGATGAGGATAGTATATTTGAATTATGTGCCACAAAAAGAACTTGAGTATCGTTTCTGTGGATGGGAAAATCTTAAAATTACAATATTTAAAAGTGCGTAAAAATGATATCTGAAGAAATGGAAAGTCTCTTTTCTTTTCAACCTTTTTTACAACTAGAAACCACAACTGAAATCCCAAATTTTATTTTAAATGAAACCTAAATCACCAAGGCAAGTCACCACCTAGTACCAGACACCTATACTAATATCGTTAGAGTTTTGTATATTTTCTCTACATAAGCACTTCAATCGATTTCTCTATCTCCGTCAAACACAAGCACGGAGACAATAGGGAAATCTACAAACTATAAGTGCTAACACGTACCAGCGCGAGCGAGAAAAACAAGCGTGAGAGGAGACAGAGATAGATATTACAAAGACATAAGCGTTGAACACACTTGTCTGAGTGACGTACCAAAGTAGAGGGAGGAGGAGGCAGCATAGTCGTGAAAATGTAAAGCACTAACCAATCACAGCCTGCTAAGCATACAGACTAAGGCACTTTTTTGAAACATCAATGGTCACAAACACAACTTTGAGCGAGATGATCTGACCAGTAGATCACTCTAGAAGTAGAATCATAGAAGTAGCTAAGTACTATGTCAATGCAGCTCCTACTTGCAACATTTTTTTTTTAATGGGAGCGATGGGCTCAGTTTATTTAAATAAAAAATGTATTACAATACATTTGCGGATTTTTGCTACATTGTTATGTATGACAAAAGGTGGAGAAAGAAATATATGATGTATAAAACAAGAAGTATGAAAGGCCCATCGACATCTCCTTCTGCCCCTGTTTGACCCCCTCGGGACCGCCGTTGGGCATTACTTCGCGGAGAGAGGCTGGGCTGGTTCACCGAGCTCGTCACGTTTGCACTATTTGTTATTTCGTCTTCTTCATGCCGCGTCGTCCGGTCATTTTCTTCTGGCCATCTCTTCGGCTCTCAGACTTGTGATGACTGAATGGGCGAAGGTGGCTACCGCGAAACGAGTTTTTTTCGTCTGCTAGCATGAGCTGGACGATATTTTCTGGTCTGGCAACTTCTTGAAGCTGACGATGGAGTTTTTCTTTTCCCTCCTCAAATCGGATGCAATTGAAGAAAAAGTGCTCTGCGTTTTCGACCGTATTGAGACAGACCGGGCAGTCTGCGCTAGCGTTGGCTATGATGTTTAAAATAGCCGTGGCCTGTCAGGAGCTGGGTAGGGTGATAGTCTACCTCTCCGTGTCTCCTCTCTATCCACGACCTGACGTTCGGGATCAGCCTGTGCGTCCATCGTCCCTTGGATAAACGATCCCACCGGCTCTGCCATCTTCTTAATGTCTCCTGGCGTTCTTCAGCTCTCGCATCCTCGTGGCGACGCTGATAGAACCAGCTACGCTCGTCTGCTGGTAAGGCCAGCGGTGGTATGCTGGCAACCACGTAGGTAGCGTCGTACGAGAGGTGCGGGCGACCACTGATGACACGTAGGCAGGCTCGCCGATGGATTGCTTCCGCCCGACGCATGCCAGCCCGTGTTCCGGTTCCGCGGCTCCAGATGGGGGCGCCGTAGAGGAGGATCGAGTTGATGACGTTCACGTAAAACCGCCTTCGACTGCTCCTGGGGCCACCGATGGTCAGCATGATCTGCGAGAGGGCACCCGCCACTCTCGATGCCTTCTTGCTGGCCGCTCAGAGGTGATCGTTGAATGTTAGCCTCGCTTCCAGTTGCACGCCCAGGTAGCGGATGCAGGGAGAGGAGGCGATGAAACAGTCGCCTACTTCGATGGTGATGGTCTCCAATCTCCTCTTCTTCGATAGCAGCAGGGCCTCAGTTTTGTGGTCCGCCGTCTCGAGGCCTAGCCCCCACAGCGCGTCGCGTACTCTTGCGATAGCGCGGCTAAGAATGTCCTCGACCTCGTACGTCGTCCCCGCCACGACAACCACGGCGATGTCATCAGCGAAGCCAACTATGCGCACTCCTTCCTCCAGTCTCAGGTGGAAGATGGAGTCGTACATTACGTTCCACAAGATCGGGCTGAGGACCGAGCCGTGGAACGCCGGCCGTGATGCTGCAGGACTCCGGGCCATCATCGGTATCGTATTCCAGCACTCTGGCTTGAAAGTAGCTGTGGATGATCTTCAGCAGGTACTCAGGCGTGCGGATTCTCTCGAGCGCGGCGAGGATGCTGTTCCACCGCACCGAGTTGAACGCGTTTCATACGTTGAGGGTGACGACGGCGCAATACTTGCGGCTGCCCTTCGCGCCTCCAACCGCCTTACGGGCCGCAGCGGTGACAGACTCCATGGCATCAATAGTCGATCTTCCCCTCCGAAATCCGTGTTGGCGGTCCGAGAGGCCGACCGGGGCCTCCGTGTACACCTCCAGGCGTCTGCATATGATTCTCTCGAGGATCTTGCCCGCTGTGTCGAGCATACACAGCGGACGGTAGCATGAGGGTGCATCAAGCGGTTTGCCTGGCTTCAGCAGCAGCACAAGCCCTTGCCTCTTCCACGGACTCGGGAAGACACCACCGCTCAGGCACGCCGAGTACACCTGCAGAAAGGCATCCGGTCGCAGGGCAATGGCGAGCTTGAGAGCCCTGTTTGGTACACCATCGGGTCCGGGTGCTGCACCATCCCGGATCCTGGCGCAGGCTCCTCGCAGCTCCTCCAAGGGGACGTCAAGGACCTCGGAACCGGCAGGTCCCGCCGGAGGCCGAATCAGCGCCTCGGTCACCGTCGGGAACAGCGTGGCGACTGTCCGACGCACCAGAGATGGCTCTCTTGGGGGCGTCGCCCTGGGACCCCTCAAGCGCGACATGACCGTCCCGTACGGCCGGCCCCATACGTCCCGGTCGACCTCATTGCAGAGGGCGCTCCAGCATCGGCGTTGCTCTCCTCGATTGCAGCGCGCAGTCGGCCTCTCGCGACGGCGAAATCAACGCGTCGAGCATCCTCCACGGGCCGTCCCCGCGCTCTTTAAACAAGTCTGCGAGCTCGCAGGCACTGCCGACGGAGGGCGGCGATCTCGTCTGTCCACCAGTAGACGGGCTCGCAACGGCGGCGGCGGCGCCCTCCTGCGCTGGACATCGACGCATCGCAGGCCTCGGTGATGGCGGCGATAAGGGCATCCGCCATGTCCTCCGGTCGCTCGGGCGTCGCGTGAGGGATTCTCGCTCCAGACAACCGTTCGGAGAAGACCTCCTCGTCCAGTGTGCGGGCGCTCCATCTCCGTCTCGGGCCCGCCGAGCCTCTGTGAGGTCTATGATCACTCAGGTTGAATGTGATGGCTCAGTGGTCGCTGCTTGTGACGACTCCCCTCTCCACTCGCCATCCCACCACTCTGGGGGTGAGCGAATCGCTGGCAAATGAGAGGTCGATGATGGAGCTGCCTTGCGGACCAGTGAAGGTCGGCGTGTGCCCGGTGTTCAGCAGCACGACGTCCAGGACGGAGAGCGCATCGAGGAGAGCGACGCCACGAGGTTTCGTCTCGCTGCTGCCTCACTCCGTCGACCAGGCATTGAAGTCACCCGCGATTATGAGGGGCCTCCTACCCTGAGCCTCCTCCACCACGTCTGCCAGCAGAGCAGAAAACTCGGTGTTGGAGAGCCTCGGAGGAGCGTATACGCTGAAGATGTACACGTCGCTGACGCGGGCCCACGTGAAGAATGAGAGGGGTCTCGATGGGCGATCCTGCACCGGTAAGCCGCCACGGATCCAGATTGCAGCCTGCCTGTTGGAGTCGGCTATCCACGTGTAGTGTGGACCAGGGTTTTGTATTGGTCACACACGATGGCCACGTTTATGCTGAGCTCTCGCACCGTGTGACTCAAGAGGTCTTGGGCCGACCTGCAGTGGTTAAGGTTGAGTTGTAAAATCCTCATCGTCGACTGCTAAGGTGCTTCTTGGCCAAAGGGCAGCTAGGGCTGATGGTGGCGTGGCCGCTGGCAGAGCAGGCACACCGGTGCGCTCCTGCAGGTCTTGGCTCGGTGTCCGTCCTGTCCACACCAGTAGCAGAGCTTCGATCGGTCGGGACCTACGCAGCGCGCAGTGACGTGGTCGAACTCCCAACAGCGGAAGCACCGCGAGGCCTCAGCGCGCTCGCGCACACGGCAGCTGACCCATCCGACTCTCAGGTGGCCAAGCTTGAGCGCCTTGGCCGCGAGCTCGTCGGGCAGGTCGATGACGGTGGTCTGCGTGCCCGCGTACGCCTTCCGCAGGGATCTCACGGCATCTGGAACAGGGTTTGCCATGCCCAGCTGATGACAAAGAGCCGTGCAGATTTCCTCCTTGGTAGCGCACTCGTCGAGGTCCCTGATCTCGAGCGCGGTCTTGTGGCTAAGTGCGCTAGCGGTGACAGCTTCTCCGAGAACGCCATCGAGCTCCGTGCCCAAGGCAGACGCGTTGTGCACGCCTTTCCTCATCTGCAACACCATGGCGCCAGAGGCACTACGTCTGATGCATTGCACCGACTTGCCAACCATGTGCTGAAGCGCCGGCACCGCGTACAGCCTTCGCAGGATGTTGGCATACGATGTTGTCCCGGTAGCCTTGACAACTATGGTGTCGAGCCTCAAGCGGACCTTACGCTGCCGAGGCCTTGGAGGCTGCGAGCCACGCTCGGCCACTTCGACCTGGTGGTCGCCATGGCGCCTGCCGCGTCGACCCTTCACGACCGTGAAGGTTTCCTCTTTGGCTGAGGCGTTGTTGTTGGCATCAACGACCTGCTCGTGTTCGTGCGGGTAGGGTCCGGTGGCGCGCTTAGCCGCCGCAGCGACCTCTGGTGGCGACATTGCAGGTCGCTTTTTCCTCGTCGAGGACGGTGTGGATGCAGCCACCCCGGCCTGCTTCGAGGAGAGTACTTCCGAGCACTCCGTTGATCTCTGTAGTGCTGCGAACGCCTGGGTGAGGCAGAA